GTCCACCTCTTCTTGTTCTCTCCCAAGAACCAGTCTTGACTCTTCTATACCGTCGCTTCCTCTCCTACTTCATTACGGCTTAATTTATTTTAACCTACTAGGTAAGAAGCCATCAAGCAAGAAACCTTTCACACTGCTCACTGCGGACGCTAAAGCCACATAAAGAGAATTACGTGAACGAATGATAAATGAATTAAATACTATGAAGAAGAAATGGTGGCATCAAAGGGACATGTATTAAAGAAACAAATTGACTTGAAAATATTTTGACCACAACAAAACTGCTAACTTCTTTTTTTCTTGGAATAAAACCAGTATTTATTGATTTTAATCCCAATTCCAAAAGTAAACTGTTCATAAATTATTTCAGATGTATTCTTTTTGTTCAAAATAACAACAAACTAGAAAGATATTCTCTTATCAATTAGTTGGCAGCAATTTTTTAGTATGCTATCTTGGACAAAAATGAACAGATGAATTACTTAGCAGATTATTTGATTGATTAGCTAATAGAGTCTGATAAGACTATTATTGGTTTATATCTACACCATTGTTGAAAAATTCCAGGTTGAAGCCAACCGTTTTAAAATTACCCTAGCGTTATTTTAGAACTGTTTTAAAATATTCCAACATTGATAGTCTAGATGTCAACCATCAATAATCTTATCATACACCATTAGTTGATCAATCACAAGTTTTCAACAGCTTATAGGAATTTCATAATCTGCTAAATAATACATCTGTTTATTTTTCCTACAAGTATTGACTATTAATTTTTAATTATCAAGCTTATCTTGTCTACCAGCTACTATCAACATTTTTATTAGATTACATAGCACGTTACATGAAGTAAGAAGTATTAGCGAGGTAAAGGGTAATGTGTACAAGGAAAATCAATTGGTATACGGGGGAATAGATACATAATGTAATAAAGAAGAAGAAGAAGATTTCAATTTGAATAAAAAAGGGAGCGGCAAATTGATTGACCCCTCTCGACTCTCAATGAAACGATGCTCTTGTCCATAAGCGGATATTGATCATTTGGATGAATGAGCTCAAAGGAGCAGTTTAGTATTGCTCTCTATGAACCGCAAAAAATCATCAGACTTTTATGATTTTGTTCTTTATTTTTTTATTTTCTCTCCTTTCCAATGAAGATGGTTTAACCCGAAAGAACCTTTCTTACAAGTTCGTGTGGTAGATAATAAAGTTAATTACGTCCGATACACTTCTATACTACTATGACTCAATTTGTTTTCTATACTTTGCTCTTTCATCTTTGATACCCTTTGTGCCACTAATGAGATTAATAAAAATTACTGCTCATTTTTCGCTCTAAATTATACCTAACTACTGTCTTCATTCAACGACCAGTTTGCTCGTTTAATATTTATTAAAACTGAATGCTTAATGTTGAAAATAATTGTTTCACACTTTTTAATGATTTTGATTGCAATATCTATAATATTTGAAGAATAAAATAATGATATTTTATCTTAATTAAAAAAAAAAGAAAAAAAGTCGTGAAATATATTTAGAAAAATTTTCTATCTGTGAAGAGATATTTCCTTTTTCTTTTGCAATCGTTAAAGTAATTAGAAGGTTGAAAAAAGTTGGCGTCCACTTCTAATTGCTTTATCTCCCGGGCGTATCGAAGATGAAGAATAAAAATCAACTCTATCATAAAGATTATGGATTTATCTGTTGGATTGATTTAATATTTTAAGAAGAGTAAAGATATTAAATAAGAGAGACTATAAAAATAATCTAAAGATCTTTGAAGAAAAAATTAGCACAATTTTCGAGGATATTTAATGAGAAGAAGAATGATACAGTGACAAATGAAATATAATAAACAAAAGTAAGAGCAAAGCTAGGTGTAATAAACAAAATGGACTGTACTTTTGTGGTTTTTTAATTAAAATTACGAGTTTACATGAAGGAAAATAGTATAGAGAAGTAAAGCTCATCGCGGTATCTTTACCATGCTTTTGTATATCCTATCGTCTGTGTCGAGTTGGCTATAGGATACCAGAGAATGAAGGGGATTTTTTATTTTTCATACCCCACTTTTATTTCCTTTTTTTGTTCAAACGAAATGAGTTAGCAGTGTACATGAGACAGAGTGAGGAAGAGCAACAAAATTTATGAAAGACTTCCATTCAAATTCGCAACCGCACTTTCATGTACATTTCAACCTCAAGTCTACTACTTTTTCTTCATAAAAAATTCAATTTTTCCAGAGTTTCAAGTAATAGATTTCTTTTTTATTGAAACTTAAATATGAAAAATGAAATGACATTATTTTTGAGATGCATAACATTTTAGTGTCATTAAATATTTAGAAAGGATAATATTCCTTAATTACTAGAAACACGGTTTGGAATGATAAAAAAATAAAATAATTTCACGGAATAAAAATAAAAATAGTTTGAATAGCACTTGGAATAAATTTTCTATACACTGTGACGTTATTTTTTGATAACGCCCCATTGGTAGCTCCAGAAACAATTTATTGAATATTTTGAGGCTAATAATAGCCAATTTAAGGCTCATCTGAGCTATTATACTGATTCTTATAGTCAGAAATTCATACTTTCCAATGCTTTATTAATTATATTTACTTTCCCTACGCCAAAATTATCTTTATTATTTCTATTTAATCATTACTATTTAATTTATGAGTCTTGATTATTATCGAATTAAATTTCTGTATATTTTTGTTGTTAATTTCACATTTGGATTTATTTTATGTTTTATTGGCGTAGAATAGTTAGTTATAAGTTAGGATTATAACATTTAATGCAAACCAAGGCTGATTGATTTAGTTAATAATTAAAAAGTAGTGTGAAAATCTCAATAACCCAAGATGAAAGCAGAGTTGGATCCAGAGAAGATTTGTCAGCAATATGGACGATTGAGAGGAGAGTTGGGAAGCTGTAGTGGAGTAGAGGACCAAAAGTAACGTGTCACCCTGCAGTTTTCCCATGCTGGGAGACGTCCTAGCCCTAAGGGTTGTAGTCACGGGGTTGTTGCCAGTAAAATGGGACTCCAATAAAAAGATGGAAGTATGGAAGAGGTCGTAGGATTAAGTTTTTGAGTTTAGACATTAAGTTTTAGAGTTTAGAATTAAGTTTTGGTGCACATTAGTTTTAAGTGACCCCTCCATATGAAATCTGGGAGAAGTCACGTGAAGATAACCACCAATAAGAAGTATTGTAAGACGAATTGAAAGAATTTTGAGTTTGGAGGGAGAAGAAATTGCGGAGAATGAAGAAATTAAAGATAGGAGATTTTGAGGATTCAGTTTTTTGGAGTTTAGTCGAGAGTTTAGTCGAGAGGTGAGTCGAGAGTTAGTCGAGAGTAAGTCAAGAAGTCGAGTGCAGGCCATGCCTGTGAAGAGATGAGTGTGCCAATTGGAAGAGCAGAGATCCAGAAGGCAGAATGAAGATCAGCAATGAGCTCCATTCCAGTACAAGGAAGTCCAGAACAACCGGGACTAGGTTTGATAAAAGCTAAACATCGAAAGCTCTCTGCAGAAGTTGTAAGTTATTGAGAATTGACTTGAGATGGGTTAAAAGGAAACTTTGTATTTAGTTGAGAATATTTTATTTTTATGGAAAAGAAAATCCGTGAGGCTTGGTTTGCTCTCGTACTCGTTTGTTAGGTTTAAGTTTAGTTATGTATTCAGTTAAAGAAGATTGTGATGTAGTTGAGTTAATTTGATTTAAAGATTTGTTTTATTGTTAAGGATTAAGATATTGAGTTATTGAGTTGAGTTAGAATTTATTAAGAAATGATTTTTGTTGAAGAAATATGCTTTAGTTTATGTAGAATGTGTTTGAGCTCCAGAATTGTAACAGGTTAACGTTTGGTTCAGTTTATTTTGAGAATTGTAAAATGTTAAAGTTTCAGTTAGATGATTTTGATTTATAATTATGCTTTGAGCTCCAGTTATTGTTGAGAAAGTTAACAGTATTAAGAATAAATTTAATAATTAAAATATTACGAACTCGTTAGATTATTTGTGGTAGTTTGAAAACCTTCAACCGATTCCGTAGTCAGTCGATTTTATTTGCGTCTTTAGTCCCTTTGTTTTCTCGATTTAATTTGTTCTGTTGGCCGGACACGACCCCTCTCCACAACCTACACAACTGAGGGCCAGGACATGCCCTGTTCAGGAGGATCCTGATTTTTGGTGGGACCATCTTAGTTAAGTTAGATATAAGTTTGAGATTTAGTTTTAAGTATTGAGATTTTGATATAAGTTTGAGATTTAGTTTTAAGTATTGAGATTTCGAGATATTGTGTGGATTTTGAGTTAGTTAGTAAGTTGAGATATTGAGGTTAGATTTAAGTTTGAATTAGTTGTAAGTTATACCAGTTTAGTTGTTCTGGTGAATAAAAATAACTTGGCGCCCTAGGTAAAGTAGTATTAGTCTCCCAGGGATGGTTCTAATCAGGATGCCCACCTGAAGGAAGGTGCGTTATGGAGTGAACCCCTTTTGGGGGTCGAAAAATAACGTTACAAATGGCGCCCGACGTGGGGCTGCGCCGAAAATTTATGTTTTGTTAAGGTTAATAATTTTTGAGATTAAGATTTGTTAAGTAATGGAGATTTGATTAGTAAAGTTAAGATAGAATTTTGTTGAGTAGTTGAAGATTTAGTATTATTAGAGTTATTGAGATTTATTTGATGCATTTGTTGAGTCTTTGTTTGATGATAATATTGTGGATAGTTTAGTTATTTTCTTTGTTCGATGGTTGAAGGTTCACCTGTAATACATTCATTTCATATTAAGTTATTTTCTTTGTTACAATTCTGGAACATTCTTTGCATTATTAAAATTTCATTTTCACGTTTGATTAGTAGGCTTAGAAGGAATTGAGAATTAGAAGAAAGAAATTTATTAATATTATTATTATTAAAATTCCACGAAAATAATAGCTCTTAAGTTAAAATTTTTTTGTGTGCTCTAGTAAAATCGTGAGATCCAGTTCGAACATGCAAAGTTTAAGAAATAAACATTCTTTCCTTCGTTGTTCATATGTAAAAGTTCTAGGTATTAACGTTTGCTCTAGTATTAAAAGATTCAATTTAGTAATCCAAAGCTTTTGCAGTAGCTTATGAAAAGATAAAGAGAGTTCCAGAAAATTTTATTTCAAATAATATAGTATTTAATATAAAAACTATAAATAGGAATTATAAACTAGGCTTTGTCTTTCCAAGAATATTCTCTTGGTGATTTTCCATTGAAGAAAGTCTATAATCCCAAAACGTAAACAGTGCAAGTACACGTGCACTTGTGGCGTGCTTCTTTGTTAGACCCAAACGCCTCAGCCAATCAGCGAACGCGATACGGTGCGCGAGAGCAACTCCCGCGCGGCGTCACCTCATTCTTGTCGAAGCTGCCGAGCAGTTAAGACGCGTAGTGAGCACCTCGTGTAAACTTAAAATTGTTTGCGTTTATAAATCATCAAGTATTACTAAATAAAACATACTACAGTGGTGTATTAATAGAGTACGTAGATTTAAGTTTTTTTTTCTAACGAAAATTAGTGGTGTGAGAGAGGCAGTAGAGTGCCACGAGATACAGCAGTTGGAAAAAGAAACAACCATCGTTTGCTTTGGGTAAGTTACAGTCTTATTATATTCGATCATTAATAGGTGTCTTGTTGCCTTAATTATTGTTAAAACAAAAGTGAAAGAGTTTATCTAAAGTCGAATATAACCCTGAAAAACATGAAATATTTGGTGAAGTGTGTACGTGACTGACGATGGGGTATACAATGAAGGTTGTGCATAAAGAAATTCGCGTTCAGTACAGTTTGCTCTAGTTATTTGTTAAAAGCACATCTTCAGTCATATTGGTCATTGAATTATCATGGATATAGTCAAGACAATTAGGTAGCTGGCATGGGAAGTACGTAAGGCAACCGGTGTTGGCTATGAACATCCAGATAAAATCATTTGAGTCAAAGTTGCTACAGTTTGCTACAGTATTACAGTTTGCTACAGTTTGCTACAGTTAATTAATAAAGAAAAATGAAAATAAATGAATAAAGTTTAGAGTAATAAACATTTACAGAGTGAGTTTGACAAATAAAAGCAACGTTGTTTACAAGATTTTCATGTCGGTAGCCTCTTTGTCTGGCGAGATGCGCAGAACGATACGCGTAGAGTCGAAGCGTTGAGCCTGCTTCGCCTGCTTGCAGTTCTCGCACGAGGGGTGAGTCCACTCGCCTACACACTTCTCAAGCACGTCGCCAGAAAACTTTCAACGCGATAATACACTATAATTAATTCATGAAGCCTGAAAAGTAATAGCTTATGTGGTGTAGAATCGTCTAAAGTCATTAGTGATCTAGAGTATAGAAAAATTAATGAAGAACTTGGGTCGTGGTGAATCGAAAGGTACTGCTGTTACGAGGAAGCAGCCGGCAACCGTTGACCGTGCTGGCGTGGAAAGACACCATGAAACTAAATTTATTTAAAGTTGATCCAGAAATAAAATATAAAGAATTGCTCCAGTATTACAGCTACAGTAAAATTATATTTTAGTAAGATATTTATAGTATGCTCCAGTTACGTGATAAAATAAATACTCTCCGCCATGTTGGACATAGAGATGGAAGTCGAGATTTTTTTTTATATATATTTCCGTTACAGTGTGCTACAGTATTAAAAGAGAAGAATCTTTCTTTGAAAGTATTAAAGTAACCAAGTAATGATTAATAAATAGAGAAGATAATAACTTAGAATGAAAATAATGGTGTACGTGATTTCCACGCCGGTAAAGTCTTTGCTCTAACGGTTGCGCAGAACGATGCGCGTGAGTAGTGGCATCGAGGTTACCTCGCTCGCTTGTAATTCCTTCGCGCGGGAAGTTATGACTCGAAGCTCGCGGTTTGACACGAAAAGATTGGAAAAAAATACCAGTAAAGTCGATTAGAAATTAATATCGAGATGATAACCGAGGAAATACCTTAAGATGATATAATTGACGGAATGATCCAGTACTATTTTGATAATAAATAGATGAATAAAGTAAAGGGATACTTTTGTGTACTTTTTACGTGCCATTTCAGTCAGTCCAGTCTATCTAACTTTGGTTTTACTCAGCGGATGATAGTATGTTTCTTTTTTTAATAAAATATGTAATGGAACAAACTTAATGGTTTGGATGAGGAAAATAATTAGTAAAAATTGGATTCGCGAATTTATAGTGAAAAATTAAAGATGGACATCTCGTGGTTTTGGTGAATGGCTTAATACCCAGTAAATAAATAAAATATTGACTTTAATTTGTACAAGTAAACTAATTTACAGGTGACACGTCGTTTTGTGTCGTGTCACAGCTCCAGTTGATTGCTCTAGTTACCATTTTTTTTTCGCTGATAAGAAGAAGTAATCTTCTTTAGTCAAATTGATAATAAGGTGTTTTTGTTTATTCCACTTAATTTTCCTTAAGTAAGCAGTCTTAGGTGACTAGCTCAATTAAAATAGTGATCCTATTCGCCAATAAGCCATAGAGATGAGTCATAATAACTTGTTTGGAATTAAGAGAATAAAATAGAATGAATATAAGAAAGTTAAGAAAAAGAAACTTTCTTGCAAATCAGTATAATTTCAAGGTTAAATTGATTTTTTTTTGGTTTCCACGAAATGAATAGAGAACTATCATCACGGGCTGAGTTAGCTGATCACAAAGAATGAACGTAAAATAAATAAACAATCAGTGACTGGCTCGGGTTCATGGAAAGTAGAGTAAACAAAACTCTCGGTTTTATATTTTATCGAGCGACCATTACCCTTAGTATGAATCTAACCAAAATAATAAAGGATATGGGTTCCTACTATGATAAAGCATGCTTGTAAATAGAGAATCATTCGGAGATGGCGGACTCTAATGATCGTACGACGGATAAGGAGACGGAGACTGACGACTCGTCACCATTGACAACCCGTGAAGAACCTATAGTAGACCCGGAGGTAGCAACGGGATCTCAAGACGCTGAAGGAGCTGTTGGAGGTCCTAGCACGACCCCCCAAGTACCAACTAATGAGCCTGGGAGAATTGGTGGGTATAAACGTTCCACTATAGGAAGCAACATCTATTTTAATGTAGATCCTCGTTCGCAAGCCGGTTATTCGTTATACCCTGATTTTAATCGTGGACCACCAATGAATATAAACCCTACCCCGGAGGTAGATCCAAGACTTGTCTATCATCCTAATGTTAATTTCCATCGCGGTAGTCAGGGTTATGGATCGTCCTTTGGTTATTCTGCTCCTGAAGTAAACGTTCCAGGACTTGCTCAGAGTATTGATGCTGGTTTTGCTCAAGGCCCTTCAACTAGTGTTGCTCCAGTAAATGTTCAAGGGTTTGCCCCAGGATTCATCCCAGGGGTATCTCAAAATGATCCTTCTCGACGAAGTACGATTCATCCATCGCGAGCTGACATGAGAATCAACTCTGATGATTCTGAAATAATTCCAGGAAGCTCTAGTACAGTAAAACCTATTATGTTCTTACAAGCAATGCAACGATGGGATATCACCTTCAGTGGTGCCCTCGGGGAAGATGTTGAATTATTCCTCAGTCGTATTCAGGAAGGTCTAGATTTATTAGGTGTTAATGAAGATACTTTGTTAAAAACTTTGCCGTTTCTATTAAAAGGTGGTGCTCTAGTTTGGTACAGAGCTCGAGTGAAGAATTTTGCAACGTGGCAACAAGTTAGATTAGCTTTTCGCTCTAGATTCGCAGATCCAGACTATCAGATAGCATTAAGAGAGGAAATCAGTCGTCGTACGCAAGCTGAAGGCGAACCTATTGGTGAATACTTAGCATGTATGAATGGTTTGTTTGACCGAACTGATCCAAGTTGGACTGAGTGGGAGCGAGTGAGATATGCTCATCGTGGTATGCACCCTGCATATCGTATAGCGATTTCTTTGACTGATACATTAACCATGAACCAGTTAGAAAGTTTAGCCATCAGACATGAGCAAGTATGGCGTAGTCTGAAGGAGAGAAGAGCCCCTCCCCTCCCGGAAGAGTCCATGTGTCCCGCTTATGCGTATGCTGGTCCTAGGACTCATAACACTCAGTTTTATCCTTATGTAACCTCCAGACCAAGCCGAGCGAATGTCCAATTAGTACAACAAGAGTATGACTATGAGATAGAAACACTGGAAGCAATGCAATCGAGATCCAGCCAGAAGAAGACGGGTAATTTGCCTACAAATGTCCTTCCTACTCCTGTACCTTTCTATCCAACCAACCCTGTAGCTCCAGCTTTAGCTCCAGTTTCAGTTCCAGTCCCTCAAGCTACAGGTATAGTCCAAAAGAATTCTGTTAATCCCAATTGTTGGAATTGTAGTAAATCTGGTCACCTCTTTAGATTCTGTCCTGAGCCTCGCAGACGATTTTGTTTTAAATGTCAAGCTCCGGGAGTAACTTCAGTTAATTGCCCACGTTGCAACCAGGGAAACGCACAACAGTGAGCGTTATCCCGACTCAAACGCCCTCACTCTATCTCAAGGAGTCGGCCAAAGTAAATTCGAGGCAATCCTTTAAAGTAAATAGTTTTGTTCCAGACATTAAGCAAAAAGACGATAATTCACTAAGGAATTGTCAAGATTCCCCAGACTCAAATGACCTGGCACTCGCCTTTAATATTCAATTGGAACTAGGCAGCCATGTTATTGTCGCTTTAGTCGATAGTGGTGCAACGAAGTCATTTATCGGAAGAAAAGCCATCGATATCGTTCAAGACCTGGAATTACCTATAAAATTTATTCCATTTAGACGTGTAATTACTGCGAGTGGTGTACGCCATAAAATTAATGAGGTCTGGCACACCGTCCTCGAGTTAAAGAACAGGAAACTTCCTGCCTCTTTTCTATTGTTTCATGAGATGGATGAAGACTGTGTGTTGGGTATAGACTTCCTCCAGAAGTCTGGAATAGTTATAGACTTTAAAGGAAAGGCGTGGTTCTTCAGAGATGATCCAAACTCTCGTTTTACATTTGATCCAGTTGAAATTAATCGTTCTATTATATTGTATGGGCTCCAGTATTTAGCTTCATCGGAAAAACAACAATTAATGACGTTGTTGTCAGAATTGATTCCCGAACCTCCGAGAATACTTGGAGTAACTTCGGTAACTTCTCACGATATTGATGTTGGCGATAATCAAGCAATTAAACAGAGATTTTATTCTGTAACTCCAGCTATTCTTCAAGCAATGTGGAAAGAAGTTGATGAGATGTGGGCAACCGGTATCGTTGAACCTTGTAATAGTGATTGGGCTAGTCCCGTAGTCATGGTAAAGAAACCAAATAACACCTGGCGATTCTGTATCGATTTTCGCAAAGTCAATGCTATTACTAAGAAAGATGCCTATCCTATTCCTCACATGTCTGATATTTTAGATCAACTTCGTCAAGCTAATTATATTACTACTTTAGATTTGAGTCAAGCATATTTTCAAATCCCTTTAACGGAAAGGGCTAAGCCTATTACAGCATTTATTGTTCCAGGTAGAGGGTTGTTCCAGTTTACTAGAATGCCATATGGCTTAACGAATGCTCCAGCGACCTTTCAAAGGTTATTAGATAAAATATTAGGTCCAGAGGTCTATCCTCATGTTTTTGTCTACCTGGATGATATAATTATTGTCACTAAAACTTTCGAAGAACATCTTAAATGGCTTAAAATTGTTTTGGAGAAAATAAAAGCTGCAAATTTAACTATTAATCGTGAGAAAAGTTCATTTTGCTGTAATGAAGTTAAGTATTTAGGTTTCAAAGTAAATAACGAAGGTCTTCAAGTAGATCCGGATAAAACAGAGGCAGTAGTAAACTTTCCAACCCCCAAAAATGTCAAACAAATTCGTAGATTCCTAGGAATGGCTTCTTGGTATCGTCGCTTCATTCCAGACTTTGCTACAGTTGCAGCTCCATTGAATAAATTATTAAAGAAAGATAAGAAGTGGGAATGGGGTGACGAGCAACAGAAAGCTTTTGAGGAACTAAAAGTCAGATTAACCACTGCACCCACTCTAGCTTGTCCTGATTTCAATTTACAGTTTACGCTCCAGACAGATGCAAGTTCAGTTGGGTTAGGTGCTGTTTTAACTCAAGTCATTGATGGTGAGGAAAGGGTGATTGCTTATGCAAGTAGGTCAATGATAGATGCAGAGAAAAATTACTCGGTGACGGAACAGGAATGCCTAGCAGTCATATGGGCCATCCAAAAGTTTCGTTGTTACTTAGAAGGTTATTCTTTCACGGTTATAACTGACCATAGCAGTCTGAGGTGGTTACATAATGTGAAAAATCCCACAGGTCGTTTAGCAAGGTGGGCGCTAGAACTATTGCAGTATGATTTCACAATCATTCATCGTAAAGGAGCCTTGCATCATGTTCCCGATGCTTTATCCCGTATTCCAGAAGACTTAGTGGAAGTGTTACGATTCATTGACGTTACAGAGGATCGATGGTATCTCCGTCGATTTAGAGATATTGAAAGACGACCAGAAAAGTTCCCAGATTGGCGTATTGAGGAGTCTAGGATGTATTTTCATCGACCGTCAACCTTTGTTGAGGTCGAAATCGAAGATCTGGATGCTTGGAAATTAGTTTTACCAAGAGAAGCTAGATTAAGAGCGCTCCAGGAAGGCCATGCTACTCCTCAAGCCGGTCATCTCGGTATTGACAAAACTTATAGACGATTGTATATCAAGTATTATTGGCCACGTATGTTTAAGGATGTTCTAGCATATGTTAGGGCTTGTGAAGTATGTCAGCGAACCAAGGTTGAACAAACTCGTCCAGCAGGGTTCATGGGTCGTAGAGTCATCGAAGAACCATGGTCAGTTATTGCTGCTGATATCATGGGTCCCATACCTCGAAGCAAATCTGGTTTCGCGTATGTTCTAGTTATTCAAGACCTCTATACGAAATGGATTGAGATTCAACCCCTCAGAAAAGCTAATGGTAATTTGATTAGTAATTTTCTCCAAGATTTAGTCATTTCCAGATGGGGATCACCGAGAATCCTACTCACAGATAACGGCACCGAATTCTGCAACCGAAGTATCCAAGCCTTAGCGAGAGACGTGGGTTTTAGGCACACCACGACACCTCCTTATGACCCTCAAGCTGATCCAGTAGAACGCGTGAATAGAGTCATCAAAACTATGATCATCTCTTTTATTGAGGGTGACCAAAGAGAATGGGATAAATACCTTCATGAGTTTCGCTTTGCCCATAATACTGCTCACCACAGTTCAGTTCAAGCATCACCAGCTTTTCTTAATTTTGGCCGAGAACCACAGGCGGCCATTCAGTTACGTCGAGAGCACGAGGACAGGACAATGATGACGGAGCGGCCAACTACAGAATGGCTCCAGAGAATGAGACGACTAGATGATCTGAGGGCAACAGTAACGCATGCTCTAGATGCGGCATTCCAGAAACAAGCTCATTATTACAATCAGCGACGACGAAATATTGAATTTAGAGTTGGGGATCTAGTTTGGAAAAGGTATCATGTACTATCATCAGGTGCTCAACATTTTTCAGCGAAGTTATCACCACCTTACCATGGACCTTTCAGAATCACCCGGAAGATATCTAAGGTTGTATACGAATTATCAGATCTTGATGGAGCGGTAGTGGGAGAGTATGCCATCAAGGATCTGAAACTGTACAAAACCCCTTTATTTAACTAACAACCCCTTTTGTGTTGACTATAAAAATGACACAACCTGCTCCTAAGGGGAATATTCCCCTGCTGACATTACTAATAACTTTTGATTGTTCATATACTGCAAATTAATTCTTAAAATTGACATTGTAATAGTAACTTTAATTTCGTAATTGTTATCTTTTGTTTCGTAGTATAGTGAACACCTAATTGATACAATTGTGACTTCCAGGTACTCAAGAACGCTACAGTAGAGTTCCAGGATGGCGAGTCGTCATCCAAGTGATGGCGATTTTGAGTGGGTTAGACCTGAGCCCGAGGAAGAGGTCATAGTAATTGACGACGAGGACTGGGAGGAGGAGTCGTTGGCGGAAACCGACAGGGCACCCTCGCCGCCACCGCAATCGCGATCCCGTGGGCCTGGAGGGCTTGGTACTCCGGAACCGGACGAAAATATTGTTTTCGACGATGATCCGTTGTGGGATCCCATTAGGCCCTATGTCCCGGCATTGGTGTGGCTAGATGAATACCAGCCGGGGCTAATTAAGGCTTTGGGAGCCATGGCCAAAGCGCTAAGCCACAAAGATAACGAAGCCTGCCCCCTGAAAGAAAAGTTTGGAGTCAAGGTCCGGCATGCGCTGCCCGGAGAAATCCATCCGGTGCCGAAGATGTGTGATGTGGGAGTCCAATGGGATCAAGAAGGATTGGGAATCGGACCGACTCCTTCAGAAACAGTAGCTTCAGAAAAGCGAGGTCTAGAGAATGTAGCTCCAGTACAGCGGGATCCAGAAGATATAGCTCCAGTTGCAAATCCCTGTTCGCCTATGGAAATAGTACCAGAAGGGGGCGAAGAAGATCAAGAGTGGAGAGGGGCCCCCGAGCCACCTCGAGATGGTCCGAGGGTACGAGCCAACCTGGAAAGGCTATGCTGGAACTGTGGTCAGCCGAACCATAGTTATAGCAAATGTACGGCCCCAAGGCGAGTTTTCTGCCAGAGATGTGGTTGCAAGGGGGTAACGGTCCGTACCTGCAAACTCTGTCATGACTATTGGAGGAGAATGGGACCATATGTTCCCGCTTTTGGACGAAACGTACCCCGGGAAGCCTTCCACAGGGATAGAGGTGCTCGCCCCGGACCCAGCCAATCATGGAGGCTGAATAAATCCGAGTATCCCTAGCTATACGCTCCAACTCCTCAAGTACTCATAACGATAGTAGTTAGTCCTTTTGTGTAATTTTAAAATAAAATTTTCTCTGTAACCTCCCTAATTATCTACAGTGTGCTCCAGTAAAATTATACTAATCCAGTAACTGATCTTTGTAATAAGTAAAGAAATCATGTTATTAATGGTACAGTTCTAACCCTTGGCTACAGTTAATAAAAATAGTTAATGTAATAACAATGTATACTTGTAATTTCCGATAATATTATAATAACCTTTCCCTACTCCGATCCTATTCGACAGCCCTAGAAAATATTTAACACAGTTCGGTGGAGCATAGCGAATAAAGGAAACATAAGGGTTGTTTCGGGGATGGAAACTATGTCTGAGTGCTCCAGTCAGTTTGGTTGTTTCAGGTTAAAGATGTAGTTTAGCATGAGACTCTTTGTATTTCAGGCGTGGGTGCGAGTGGCCGAAAATTACAGTCGGGTTCCAGTTATGATGTTAGTTCACAGGAAAAAAAAATGTTTTGGGGAGCTCCAGTATAGTCTACAGTCAGAGTTAGTTCCAGAATACAGTCAATGGTGATGTCAGATTGCTCCAGTCAACTAGTCAACGGATAGTTCCGGTGAAAGAAAGAATGCAGTGTCCAGCAATGTTATAAGGC